TAAGGCGGGACTAGAATTCACTGTCTCCCACTTTCTAGGCTGATGCTTTAAACTCTAGATGGAAGTAGCTGCGACTGTTTAATTCTACTTAATTCTTAATTAAGTTTTGACTGTTGAACCACCCATGTGGTTACGTGATTTGCATTTTGGGCGTTTGGCAATTGGCTTGCATTTACAACCCATGGCAAAAAAAAACATCCAGCGGATACACTGGATTTGGACTTATGACCTTGCTTAGTAGCCACAGTGACTTGCCCTAAGAAGAACGGTTGTAAAATCAAACCCAGTCATGAAGTGATTTGACTTGACGACTGTAATGAATTACTAGCAAAATTCCAAGCTCAACTGTGGTCAAAAGTCGAGGACCACCTGTACTTAAAAAGCAGGGGGTCCCCAAACTTGGCAACTTTTAAGACTTGTGGACTTCCAATTCCCAGAATTCTCCATCCAGCATCGTTGGGAATTGGTCCACAAGTCTTAAAGTTGCCAAGTTTGGGGGCTTCTGACTTATAAAGAGTGGAGAGACAAGAGGTTGGAGTCGTGCACATTTAAAAAAAAAAAGGCTGACCACCCAAAGCATTTAAGAGCCTTTGCATTGCATGGCAGCCGCAGAGAATTGAACCACCAGCCGAGTGGAAAAAAGAGCATTTACCTTTAATTGCCCTGGCTTCTGCTGGCTTCTGGTGCTCTCTGCCTCTCACTGCAAGGACACAAGAAAGGCTGGATTTAGCGATGGAGGAAACACTTAGGAACCCCCTTGCAAATACCTGGGAAGACACGCAAAAGACTGACAATATCCCACAGACCAGGGTCCGTTGGACAATTTCTACCGGGCCGCCGGTTTGCTGGGCGCCGCCATCTTGTTTTGATGAAAAAGTGCTTCCGGTGAGCTTTTCCGGGTAGAAAGCGGCGTTTGGGTGCTGAAAGAATCCTCGCGCCTTAGTTTCATCGTAGGGGGGGGGCGGCTTCGAACAAAACTAAGGCGCGAGGATTCTTTCAGCACGCATGGCAAGGCGAGCCGAGCGACCGTCCCGAAGCCCATCGACACAGGTACAAAGGAGGAGCTGGAGGTGGCGGGGAGAAGCGGGGACGGCTGGCTGGCCGGTCGCTCGGCTCGCCTTGCCATGTGTGCTGATGCCAGTAACGGGCCGCGGATGATTTTGTGATGCCGGTACCGGGCCACGGCACAAAAAAGGTTGGGGGCCACCGCCATAGACCCTCCGCAACAAAGAGGGCGAAATGCAGTCCACGCACAAAATAAAACCCACAGGTCAAATCAGAAGAGGACAATACTAAACAGATAAGCTGTAAGTTGAAAAGATAAAACCCAATAACACAAGAGGACTTCAGTGCTAGGTCGTCGAAGAACACAGCGGTACAAGTCAGATTATTAAAAGTAGATTGTGCTTTTCTCAGACTTGGTCACTTTCAGAGGAGTGGACTTCTACTCCCTGCATTGCCCAGCCAGCGTCTTGCTGAAGTTGAGAAACGTAATAAACCACCAGCCCATCAAATCTGTATCATTCCGCAGCCGCTCCCAAAAAATCTTGTGAAGGGCCTCCTCACAGGCCTGCTATTTATTTAAGGAGCTAACTTGGGACTATCTCAAGCTATGCTACACACTTTCTCCCGTTTTGCTAAAGAAAGAGACAGAGGGAAGGAGGGAGGGCGGGAGGAAGAGAGAGAGATAAGATAGAGAGAGAGAGATGAGGGACAGAAAGAGAGATGAGAGATAGACAGAGATAGAGATGAGGGAGGGAGAGGGAGAGAGAGAGAGAGAGAGAGAGAGAGAGAGAGAGGAAGAGAGATGAGAGGGAGGGAGGGAGAGAGAGAGAGAGAGAAATTCTGTTCCCTTATATCATTTCCCCACCCTATAAACACGACCCTGAAGTCTTTAAAGAAATTTGGGCTGAATTTTCCTCCTCCTGCTTCCTCCCTCTTTAACACCGTACCACTCCAGATCGTAAGGCTGTGCACTCTTCTTTCAATTCAGTTTCCAAACCTGAGCTGGAAGATTTGGGGAGGGCACGGAGGGAGGGAGGGAGATGCCAAAAACGTAAATAACAAAGCAAGATTATACAGGTGTCCATTGCTGACCAACTCAAGATAGCAACTTCGCTCCGACATGGGGGCGCGGCTGTACCAACCCTACTCCTTACTTTGGACATCACCAGCTGTTCTATCTTTCCAAAAACCTGGAGAAAAAGCACCTGGGACGTCTAGTACAGGAGCGCGAGACTTCACGGCTTCTGCCCGCGGACAGATGGTTTGCAACGGAAATGAAGACCGCAAAGGCTCCTAAGCGGCCTTGAAGTTTTCCAACTGTCACCGTTCCGAACGACCAACTGAATTATGTCCATTCTAGGAGGTCATAAGAAGTCCAGAGTTTTCCTCCTCCCTTCTAGCTCTGCTTTCCTTTTGTGTCAAGGCTTTTAGGGCCAGAATTTCAAGGACATTTTTTTTTTAAAAAAAAAATACATCCCCCTCCAGAAGCTTCGGGAACCGAAGTACAAAGATAAAACTGCTTGAAAACGCAGAGATGTCCTTTGTGGATTGGCTTTGAGTCTCTTTTTTTCAGAAATAGCAACCAGCAAAAGTCCTTAAGCATTTCATTTTCATTCAATTTATTGATTAGCCCTTGGGCCATTTCGAAGTGCAGAGTTCAGAAACATACATACACACACAGACACATATACATATGTGGCTGTGGCTGTGTGTGTGTGTGTGTGTGTGTGGTACACAGATGACTTAACCTCTGGAATA